TCCTTCAAAGTTAAACTCAGTTTGTAACTCAGGTGGCTCAGCTGCAAGTATTCCCAAGGCTGGAGATTTTACAGCAACCTGTTCTGGCAGTGCTCCGCTGGGGCTCACTCCAGAAGCAGATCCCTACATCATGACAATGTCTGACTCCGACTAATGCGTGTTGCCATGTGGGGTGCAATGAGCACTGGCAAGGAAGGTGATACCACCATGCAATGACAATTTCTTTGCAAGGAGAAGAGATCAGAAAGCAATCCCACATGAGCAGGTGTGAGAAGGAAAGCATGACTCTTTTAACCTGCGCTCAGCGCGACACTTCCTTAGGGCACTGCCCAAGGAGCTCCTGAAAATGGGCTGACTGAAGCGGTGTCCAGTTGGCTTGAGATATCAAAGTTGTTAGCTACACTGGGACAGCAGACACAACTGCAACTTCTGCACTTCTTTACACTGCACTGAGGTCTCTGCTCCCCTTTGGAAGCAGCTCTCCCTCCCTTCACTCCCTACAGAGAGCCAAAGGCAGCAAGTTTCCTAAGCCCCGACACCTCAGATGTGTGAAGATGGATGGGTTGAACATAGGCCTAAAATACTTTGCAGTTTCACGGTAGTTTCACAGCCCTGGCATTATCAAGTGATCTTTCAGTGTAGTTGGAAGCCAGAGAATAACTTGAGATGAATTCTTTTTTCTTCGTGTATATGTGTACTTGCAAACTGCCTCTGCCTACACATCTTGCCTGCATGGATATGTGCATGGAGGAGTGGTGCTCGTGTGGATGCTCCGTCTGCTCCATTCCACTCCTCACATCTGAGGCTGCTCAAAGCAGGTCCCCAAACCTGGGTGCTCACCATCAGACCTGCCCTCCGCACTGCATCCCCTGACCAGGCTAACTAGGAGCTTGAGGACAGGAAACGAGACAGTTTTTAATTCTGAACAAAAGCAGGAGATTAAGGAAACCAGCTGGAAACCTCTATTTTGCTGATTTTGAAAGCAAAATGTGGGTCACAGATGTGCTTCCACAGACAGAAATTGGCTGGACAAGAATAGGCATCAGCAATGCCCAGGCTTTTTGATGATCAGAGGTAGATTTAGCTCCTAGGCACGCGGACAAGAAAGGAAGAGGAGACGAAGTAGGAATGAAAACATAATCAGGAGATTAGGAATGTGGAACTCAACCCACCCATAAATTTGCCTGAGGGAATGATGAAAAAATGCAGTAATGACCAATGATGAAACCCATGGCTACCTCTTACTCTCTTTCCCTCTCTTGCTGTCCTTGTTGTTTTACTTAATGCTGCACAAGACACATGAGGATCCTTGCAGAATTTCCCCTCTTCCTCTGTCACATCTTTTCTCTGCAAGAGTGCTATTTTCCATTTTTCCTTTGCAGTAGATACAAAAACCCTGCTAAAAAGAGGCTGAATTTAGAGCCTAAAAGAAACAAAGCTTTGCAGTAACGTCCAGACTGTTAGGCAGAGCAGGTAACAACATGCTCCTGCTCATCTTTGACAGGAGAGAAGAGCTATTACTGAGTTCATGTTTAGGCTAATAAGAAATATTAAATCTATTTTCAGACAAATTAATGATAGACTAATAAGAGCCCTGCTGCTAGCTCTCACAGGCTGTTGATTAGCCTGAGGTTTGCTCTCCCAGAGCACGCAGTAGAAGGCCTTAGTTCCCATTTCAAAAATCAAGGCAAAGCACTGGGAGTGCAGCTCAGGACAAGCAGGGCAGTGGCCAGGAGTGAGCCCTAGTGACAGCACAGGGCTGCTTTGGTCTGGCAGCTCCGCCTTGTCGGAATCTGCAGGGCACAGGGGACAGCCACGGTGCCTTTATCCATTAAATAAAGCAGATGCTGATGGCTGACCTTGCATTTAGTGATGTGGAGAAGCCCAGGCGGTGGTTCCTGGGGAGCAGATAGGGGATTCGGCACAGATTTTGGTGAACTCGGGATGCATGTGACACGGTGGGGATGAAGGGCACTGCCCCAGCTGCCCTGACAGTCCCACCTGTGCTGCCCTGCAGGTCTCCAAGTGCCTTGGGCTTTGTGATCCCAGTACTGATCTTCCCTCCTGCCAGCAAGCATCAGCTCCTATGCTTGGCACCAAGAGAAACCCAAAATAAGGCAGATGCCCATATGCAGGCAGCCCAACTCACTATCATCTCTGTTTTTCACCTCTGAGAATTTCAGATTCAGCTTTTGTCCAGAATTTGTTTTTCTTAACCCTAATGAAAACCCATTTTGTAGTTACGAGTGCGTTAAAGCCAATATCAGTGTCAATAAAGACAAGTCCTTTCCCAGGAGAGAGAAAAAAATAGAAAACTGTCTCAAATTTTTCGCTCATGCAGAAGAAAACAACCTCGGAGCACCGAAAGATTAAATGAAAAATATGCCTCTTTTCACTGGGTGTCCACTGGGCGTGAATAAGTGCCAACTGAGCTCTCACTTGCATCACCATCTGGTGCGATGCACCAGGGCCCAGAGCTACGGCGGGATGCGCTGAAGTCCCAGTCCTGTGACAGCATCTCTGCTCCTGATGACGGAAACACCAGGGGCTCCGGATCTGGGCGTGCAAAGGACTCTGTTATCGTCAGCTTCACCAGCTGCCCTAGCGCAGAAACGAGAGTCCTGCCACAAGAAAAGGCACAGCCCGGGGCAGCAGAGGAGGCACAGCCCTCCTCTGGCTGCGTGTGCAACCATGGCTAGGGAAAGGGAGCTTTCCCTGAGGGAAAGGCCTGTATCCTCTTCTTCCTGATGATTTGTGTCACTGCCACAGCCTTGAAAGGTGATTTTTTGAGGGTCCCCAATTCTGGGAGGTGGAAAATGTGCCCAAAGTTATTTTTTCTCCATGCTTTATGCAGAAGATGTCTGTCTTGTTGGGTGCATCTTCAAGGCGAGCAGGTGAGCAGTAAAGCACCCCAGCACCAGCTCCCTGGGTGTTTGTGTCTGTGTGCTAACCCAGGGACAGACAAATCCACCATTTAACCCCCTCAAAAGATGCAGCCAGTGTTTCCCAGGTAGGAGACACAGTGTAATGACGGAACGCAGCAGGTCATGTCCATGTCACTTTGTTCAGGTCACTTTGTGACCTGAAGGCCTCTTCCAGTCTGGGTGATTCTAGTGATTGTAAAAGGAGCAATGCAAAAGCCAACAGGCTTTAACTTCTTTCTTTCCATTCTTTCTTCTATCATCACTTCTCTTTTTGTGCTGACCAGCTTGAGAGTTTCAGCGCAGCACAGGAGACTTTGTTAACAACACCAGAAACAATTTTGTTGGGCTGCAAATGCGTGTAGCCATCACAGTGAATGCCACAGCACTGAGCCTCTTGAGTTCATGTCTGGAAACCGTTTGTGATTTCAGAGCTCCCGCTGATGAATTACCCAGCATCTGGTCACACTGGGAGGGCGAAGCTGATTGTTTTCAACTGCTATATTGCATGGAAGGAGAACCAAAATACTTTCCTCAAGGTAATTGGCTCTAAAACAATTGAAGAATTTTCCACAAGGTTGTAACGCAATTAGGACTGACATTTTATATAATTTATATCTCTAATGATGCGTTTTTGCCATCACACACTTGTTTTGTGGGGAAAAAAAAAAGTGGCAAGAAAAGGCAGATCTTGCTGTTACAGGCAAAGGAATATTGATTATACATGGATGTCCTCCTAGCAGTGATTAAAAGTCAGCATATTTTGGAATCATCACTTAGATGTGGTTGTTTGCGGTGTGAAATTGTTGGGTAGGATGCTGTGACACCAATCACACATCTGCAGAGTTCCCGTTTGCTTTTTGGTCAGTGCCAAGAGATGTGTCATCGCTCATGCTCTGCTGCAGCGCCGCAACAGCAAAGTAATTCTGTGTTCCCAAATTGCCCTGCCAGCTGGGAGGGGAGGAGATGGAGCAGGCTGCTGATGGTCAGTGCCACCGCACAGAGCACAGCCATCAGCTACCCCCGTGTTTGGGTCTGTGTTTTGATGGCACTCTAAGCAGAGGTGCCAGGCAATGCAAACAGGCAGGCAGTCCCAAAGGGCATGAGTCAGCTGGTGGACCTGATGGCATGGGATACCATGAAGCCAAAAGCATGGATACAGCAGTCCCCTTTCACCACTGGGGAGCCTCTCTTTCTCTGACTATCAAAATAGACTCCCAGGATAGAACAGTGAAAAGTATTACTCTGCTTGCTTGTTCCCTATACTACACCGTATTTTAGTGACTACTGTATAAGATGCGGCACAGGGCCAGGGGGACATTTTGCCTGGCTGCAACAGCTGTGATTGAAATTGTGGCACGAAATGTTTTATCCTCCTTGCCTAGGTAGGGACGAACAGAGTGGAGGAATCATCATTAGAAATGAGCACGAAATGAAACTGGGGAAATGCTCAATGTTTCCTCAGAGCCAGAGCAGCAGTTTATGGGTAAATGTCCTGTTTTTGCAATGGGATGAACCAAAGCCATAGACTGAATCACCATGAAAAAAAGATCTGGATATGGTCCCTAATGGTACGGATGCCACTGACTGTATTGTGAGAACAATGCAACGCTACCATAAATGCAGATAATTTCCCTGTCCTTGGTTGTAATCCAGCTGCCTATCAGTACAGTGCATGATTATCAGAAAGGCAAAACCAAGAGTTGTAATGCCATACAAAGCAGGTGTCTGCACTCTTCTGTTATCTACCAGACGGGAAGAAATCATCAGCCACCTCCGTGCGTTGGCTGAAATCACTGAATTGGTTTGCAGGAACCTACCTTGAACAGCTTGAAAGCAGTTTGGAAACCTGGCCTTAGGGTCCTGGACTCCAGAATGGCCAGAGGGGAATATGACCATCCTGCTTGATCCTTTTTACTTTGCCGCAGTCCATGATACAGCATGCATTCTAGTTAGTTTGTAAGTGTAGCCACAATCAGATCTACTGCTGTAAGGAAACTGACGCTTTGGGGCTACTTTGGTTAAAACTTCAACAAATGCAGCTTCGTTACACTACAGGCCATCAAAAGGGATACTCACTATTGGGCCGAGTCATTGAGTTGATATTCCCGGGACCGGTTGAAGCATTCCTGGATCCCAGAGTCTGCCCAGAGTCTCATCATAGCTGACAGCAGCTCTGGAGAGAAGGGCTCTGTGTCCTCCATCCGACTTACAACATCGCAGACCATCTTGGCATCAGCCTGCAAAGGAGAGTAACAAGCGGTCACACAGATGCTGGAGGCAGGATCAGGAGCCAGACATTTCAGAAGGAGTTTGTTCAGCAAAGCAGGAGGCTGCACACAGCGGGATGGGGCTGAGGATCCACCCTCCTGCAGAACGGGCAGAAGGAGGATGGAGCAAGGAAACCTCACTCCATAAGGGAACAGGTGCTTGTACAGCCCACCTCACGTCAACACCGATTTCTATTTAGCAGACAGAAGGAAATCCATGTATATACAAGTACATATGTTAGACTGTTACCGAATGCATATGCTGTACTGAATCCCCTTTTACCGAGCACGTAACCTTGCTGAAGCAGAGACCATCTGTATCTCACAGGACAGCAGAAAGACTTCAGAAGCAGTTCTTTTCAGACGCTGCCTTATTGCTTCTTCTGAATTCCTGCTCTTTCCTATGTGCCCATCTCTGCTCCAGGGCTAACTCATGCTAACACATAACACCTTGGCTGTCTGCACTGCTTTGTGACTCACATGGAGAGGAATCTCCTGTGGTTCGGGAGTATGGTGGGGAGGGCAGGGCCAGCTGGTGACTTTCAGATGCAATCTTTTCTGGTGAGAAAAATCTGATTCACTGGAACAGCAACTTTTCCTGCAGGATATTGCTCTGACACAACTCGGGTCTGGAAGATGTCTCAAATTTAGGATGGGAATGTCTAGACAGCCTCAGAGCAGCTGAGTGCAGCCCTGCTGTAAAAGCCCACAGCGGCCGATGCTTCACTCGTTTCAACTCCTGACCCACAGGTTTGCTTTGCAGTGAGTAGCCCTCCCACTCCCCAGACTCCCAAAATCCCAGCGATGGGATGCTGGCTAACCTGCAGAGTTTTTTTTCATTGCTTTGTTAACTGAAAAAAATAAAGAATTGGAAAAGTCTCATCTTTCTGCCACCTGAAACAAAACTAATTATTATCATTATAATTAATTGGCAAAGAGGAGCGTTTATTCTTTGCTTACAGCAAACTAGTGAAGACAGCCTCCTTGTCTCATTACCTTTCCTTATGTCCCATTGGTAGCTCTCTATTTCTGTTCCCATACATCCCCAGCCCTGTGTCCCACTTGACCCAGCTCTCTGGGCAGCTCTAGGGCTCCCAAGGGACCAGCATCTCTCCCAGCAGCTGGGAGCACTGAGATGTACAGATGGGGAAGGCAACGGGTATGACACAAGCTACATGGTCAGGGATAAAGCTCTTCTTCTGCAGCTTATATTCATCGAAACTACTCAAAAATCGCAGGGCACCGAGCTGCTAGCACTGCAGACAGAAGAGTTCAATACTCAGAGGAAGAGCTTCAAGTCCACAGAACATCAAGTCCTCATAGGCTGCAGAAGTCTCAGTACTGTACAGTGACATCATCCCATAAAACTTAATGGGGTGGAGTCTGTGCTTTGAAGTCTTTATGAACATGAAGATGTTTTCACAGAACGCTTAGTATTTTCCTGCCCAGAAATCCTCCTAGCCCTCCATACAGACTCTGCTCGTTCTAGAGAAGCCGTCTTGGTGACTCACACCTCAAAGCCAAGGCAAGCAAAGAACCTTGAAGGGTTCAGTTAATTTCAAAGCTTGTTTTCTGCCCCGGAGTGCTTCGTGAGCCCAGTGAATATTCATAAACCATCAGCAGGGCTTTTCTGCCCTGCTGCAGCTGCAATTCCTCTCCTTGCAGAGGTTCTGAACAACACATAGCCTGATGAAGGCCGGTCAGCTCAGTGCTGCAGGCTGGTTCACAGCATCCCGCTGCCTTCAGATGGACTGCGTGCTTCACAAGCTATCCAAACCATGCTGCAGCAAGCTGCTTTCACTCAGGGAGGGAGCAGTTCTCTCCTGTGTTACCTCGAATGTAGCAGGGGGATTTACAGGTGTAAGTCACAGATCGGCTCATCGGTCTGAGATGGCAAAGCAGATCTGAAGCTCTCCAGCTGTAAAGGGCAGGGCCTGGGCTGCTTCTGCCCTTCGTGGACTTAACTGGGGATTGCTTTGCGCCGGGATCAGAGGGAATGTCACAGTCATCACAGTGTGCTGGGAAAGAGCTGCCTCCCTTTTTGCTCTATGGGGATGTGCGGCCGTCCCCTGCGGCGTAATGCTCAATGGCTCTGAGCAGAGGATGTTGATGGACGGCAGTGACAGAATGGGAGCTGGCAGGGACAGGCATTGAGGCCACGGTCACCAGGTCTGTGCGGGCCAGCAGTGGGGTTAAGCTCGCTGTGCAAGGGTTGTTCTGAGAGATGCAAATGGAGAACGGCTGCAGTAGCTCTGCAGTCACCAGGAGTCTCATTTTGGGACGGAAAATCTCCTTTCTACAGTTCAAGAGCTGAGTGCAGGGCATGGAAAGCACAGTGCCCCCGCTAGCACTGTATACACCGCACTGTATACAGCACTGGGTTTTGTTTTGCCGAGCCAATGATCCGACCATCACTTTTGTGCACCCAGAAAAAGCAGAGAAATGAGTGTTTTTAAAAATACCCCTCTCTTCTCCCAAGGATAAAGCCTCTCTGCCAAGGAGCATGGGCTGCCCATAGGTTTAGGCATTTGTTAGGTTACTTAACGAGCAATTAAGGATCCAAGTAGAGAAGATGCCCCCTTCTCTTCTCGCTCTCCAGGTTGCATCTCACACTGGGAATGACATTAAAACCTCCAGCCCCCCCTGGGCCCAGCAGGTAGGTTTTTAAATACTGCCTGATTGACTTTTCCCTCGCTGCCTCCCCCGGGCCTGGCGCTCCCCCTTTTCCTGAGGTGAGAGGCACTGCGCCTCCTGCCACGCACTGCGTCTGTACTGAAGCGAGCAATTAAATCAAGCACAACAAACCAGACCAAGAGTCCCCCCACGCCCGCCTCCCAGCTCCCATCTGACGGGGATTCGGCTAATGAATATCACGGTGGTATTTCAGCTACCTCAGGAGCTAAAAATAAGCAGCAGCCTGCCCCTGGGATCGCTGGAAGGAGCCACAAAATGGTGCAGTGCTTCCTCCTCCATCGCTGCCCCTGCACTTCCCTGCCTGAGGCTCAGGGCTGATGCAGGAGCAATGCAGCAACACAGCATGCAAGTAGCATTCACCATCACGCCGTCAGGGCAAGGCTGTGAAGGGTGCCCTAATCTCCAAGCAGACTCAATGATCTCAGTGGTCTTTTGCAGCCTTAATGATTCTCGATGACATGCCTCTAAGAGGTCTCGGCCATTGAGTTGTTTCCTGGGTGGCTGGGACAGCTCTGTAGCTGGGTGCCATGGGAATGCCTGAGATGATTTCACCCAGAGCTGCTGCATTCCTGGCTTTGTGCAGAGCTCCCTTGGGCTGGTTCTTGTCTGGTAGAAGTGTACGTGTCTCTTGTGCTTCCCAACACATCACACAGTTACATCCAAAGGCCTGGTGCTCCTCTTAGCAGATCAAACCCTGACCCCAAGCTGTTGTCTTCAAGTTATTCATTACCCAGAGCAGGATTTGTTCAGCTCTGCATTGCTTCCCATTGTGGCTACCTGCAGTGTGGCAAGTGGAGCCACACAGAAGTGGATGTGACACTTTTTCACCCTGTGCTACGCATCTATCTTTGCACTGGACACATGCTATGGACTCAGCTCAGAAGAGGAGCTGCTTTCTCACAAACCTGGGTGTAACCACAGTTATTTATTTGCCTCCCATTTGCCATTACCATCAAGCACACAAGGTATGTTCAGCAAGCAAACTTATGACTTCACTTGCAACTACCACATATCCCAACTGATTCATCACCTTGCTGGGAGGAAGAGGGTCTCCCCGCAGCACTCAGACATTACCAACAGTCATATCTGTCTGGGAAAACTAGTATTTTTCATCATGCACACGTAGACCAGTCCTAATTATTTGCTGCTCCTCACCAGCTATGATTTGTGCCTGCACAGACCACCAGTGGAGCTGCTTTCAGCCTCGCTGCCCCATCCCTCTGACCATCCCAGGGTAAATCTCAGCGATGACACTTTGAAGCTGTCTGTACATTAAATAGGGGATTTTTTTTTCCCACTAAGCAATCGTTTTTGGGACGAGGAGACTTTCGGGAAAAGGCACAGACCTATGCGAAGCTATGTGGTACAAATCTGCTAAACTCTGTGCAGCTGCACTGACTTCCAGCCACAGGAGAGCTGACCCACTGCGACACATTGCACAGCGCTTTCCTTTTGGCAAACCAAATCCCAGTAAATATTATTCTTTGCTGTTATTTACTCTGATTAATCATATTTGTCACTCGGTCTGTCTCAAAGGTTACCACGGGGGCAATTTCCTCTGGTGGCTGGCTGTACTCAGAGCTGCATCTCATAATGTTTCATAAAATCCGTGCGGTGTGGGAAGAAGAGTAAAATAACATTCTGCTGGGAGTAGTGCAAGAAAAAGCAGAGACATGGTGCTAGTTATCAGCAAGGCTGATAACTGCAAAGGGTGCTCCTGGATGGGACCTTCCTGGGGTCCCAGTCCCTTGGGCACAGTGCTGCAGGGGGAGAGAAAAGCAGTCCTGTCACTCGGGGGCAGAATGTGGCTCATAAACCAAAACCCTCCTCCTCAGAGAGCGGCTCAAAAACGCGGACCGTGTTTCACAGCTGAAGTGTGGCTGCATCACAGCAGAAGCCAATTATTTTCACAGCATTCACAGCCTGAATGAATGCTGGAAACAAAGCAGAGCTGGTGACTACGCCTCTTCCAAAGACATTCAGGGCCCAGCTCCAAGTCCATAGAAGTTTTTGCAGACATGGAATAAACAGTCACACGTATGGCTCTCCCCCTCACTCAGCCTCTCCTTCTCACACATCTGTTTCAGTGCTGACCTCTGAATCCCTGGAAATACGCTGTGCATCACAGTACTGACAACCATCCCACTTCTCCCTCTGCCTTCCACCCACCTTCACGTCTCACTCCACCTCTGCCTGGCACCTTGCTTGGGCTCACCAAGGTGAGAAACCCTGCAAGGCGCTGAGCTCCAAAAGCGGCTGGGGCCCATCCACTGCCT